ACAGTGAAACACTGTCTCAAAGGGGAAAAAAAAAATAAAAATAAAAAAGGAAAAAGAAAGAAAGAAGAAAAAGAATTGATTACAACACCTTCTCATGCTCCTGGTACACAGGCAGGTTTGGGTGAGTGAAAATAGGCCTGCTTGAGAAGGTAGACCCAGCAATGAGAGGCAGCATCATCCAAACTCCAAAAGACTCTAGGTGTCTCAATGTGAAGGGTTGATATGGATGGACATAGTGGTTTATGCCTGGAATTCCATACCTTGCAGGCAGAGGCGGGAGAGTGACGTGTAAGGCCATCTAAGCTATGTTATAAGACCTTGTCTCCAAAACCCACAGGCCAGTGTAGCATCCCATACCAGCAATGGCAGAGCTAGCTGGAGCAGAGACAGTGGAGTTCCAGTGCAAACTGCACAATTCACTACAGAGGTGCACACCACGTCATGGGGCCATGTTGGGATGAATATGTGGAAAAGCCAAGATATTGACCAGACTCTTATACTGAAAACTGAATGTATCACTAGCTGTACGGACTGCTTCACCAACACTCTGGCCATCACTGGTCATTTTTCCCACAATGTCCAGAAAGGAGGGCAATAGGCTGTCCCTCAGGAGAGTGGCAGAAGCCAACGGACTTGTTATTAAGCAGGGGGACTTCTAGTGGAGGAAAAGTTGTCAGGCTAATGTCAGGTTATGGTCAGTCAATTGTCAGGTCTGTTTAACAAGTTAATCTCTGGAATACAGGACATCAAAGAGGAGAGAGGAGAATGCGTAGGGTGGAGACAGCTGTGTTCTTAGAACTGAGAAAGGCCAGGACCCAGGATGCTGGTGATAGGTCAGGCTCCAGGTGGGAGCTGGAGGCAGCAGGAGAGTTTACAACACAAGGGTATCTCCTACAGCTCTGAGAGCGGAACCCAGCTGGCTGGCAAGCTCCTCACCCAGATGCTAGGTCATGTCACAGTATATATAACGGCCCTGGAAGGGGAGGGGAACCTAGAAGGCAGCCAGGTCCAGGCATGTAGCAGGCAGCTGGACTAACGTGCATGGGGTCCTGGGATTGGAGGGAGGAGGAAGAACAAAAGAAATAAAGGAAGAAGGGGAAGATGAGGGGGGAGGAAGGGGAGGAAGAGGAGGAGGAGGGAGGAGCGTCACAGCTCAACCCTCAATGACTGACTACCCTTCTGCATCTGTGGCCTTGCATGTCTCTGCAATACTCCTGGTCCTACCTGAGAATGGGTTGTCATCTTCTTTACCTGTGGAGTCTTTTCTCAAAGTCCTTTGGACTTTCAAGGCAATGATTACTGGAGCTACATTTCCCGGCAGGAATCAAGCATTTCTCCATGTTTTAAGATTAAGGTCTGTGTATCAGGGTTGCCTCTGGAGGTGGCCATGATTTCTCCCAAGGGAAGTGTCTTTCAGTAGTTTCTTCCTAATCAGTGCCCGACCTCTGGCTCCTGTGTCTGCTTCCAGAGAGCACCAGCCTCCTCCCAATGCCAGCTTCCTGCATGACTTCTGCTTCATCCAGCTCCTTGCATAGGGTAACAGCCCTCTGATTAAACTACACTGGGCAACGGCTCTGAAAACTGCGTGATTTCTGTGCCTTCTTCTTGATTCTTGTCATTTATGTTGCAAACTTCCTCCTACTTTATTTAACTGACAATCTAATCCCTTTAAGCTCAAAAGCCATAGGCATGTGACATTTGACAACCATCATGTAATGATTGATCCAGGCAGGAGTGGTGGGTGAAAGTTTGGAGGAAAATGGAGAAGCTATATTGTCAAAGCCCCTCTCTGAAAGAAATGAGCTGATCCAGTTAGGCAAGTGATCAAAGTTAACCTTCCTAGGGAGAGATGGAGCTATGGACCCTTTGTACCTCCGGATGCTCTTCTGTACTGAGAAGAATAAAAAGTACTTTATGATGGAGGTCCCATGCCGAAGAGATACTATCTGAATTGTGAGGGAATACTAAGCTGGGAGAGAATTCTGCGAAACAGCTGATGCTTGTGGGTGGCTACTGAATGTTCGGAGCCACCATATGGGCTCTGGGAACCAAACCAGGGTCCTCTGCAAAAACCAGCCAGTGCTCTTAACTGAGGAACCACCTCTCCAGCCCCAGGCATCATATTTTAGGAAATTCAGGGAGTTTAGAGAGCAAAGGTTGTTATTTCCGTAGCTGTCAGGTAACAGTTCAGAGAGATTGATGGATGGGAGAGGGATGAGCACAAGTATAGGTAAACGTTAACAGCGGGAGGAGCAGGAAAAGGGTGTGGTGATGCTTTGTGTTTCCTTAGACACTGTCCTGTGACTCTGAAATGATGTCTACACAAAAGCTAAAAAGTGTTTCTAGAGACCATGAGGCTGCTTAGAAACCATTTGGCATTTGTAGAATCTGAACTAAGGACACGGCAGATACCGAGGTCAGGGAGCTGGTTTGATAGAAGAGGAGAGGGGGCACCCACACTGAAGATGCGAGGGGAGGAAGGATGGGAAGGCCGCTGGAGCCGCCCTCCCTCAGAAGGAGCAGACATGGTCACGCAGGCTGCTTCTTCCTCTTACCCTCCAGACAGTCCCAGTAGACCCTGGAAACCTCTAATCCGACTGTATGAGACAATTTTTAATGTGTAGTTCACTGTTTTGGTCTAGTTACAGTGCAGCATATTTTTTCTGTGTCATCAAATGACAGATTAACTTTAGTAAGTTCCAAACTATAATTATGTCATTGGTGTCATAATCATTACCATGTGGCTCAGTGTTTTGTTTTGGTTTGGTTTTAGGTTTTCAAGACAGGGTTTCTCTGTGGCTTTGGAGCCTGTCCTGAAACTAGCTCTGTAGATCAGGCTGGTCTCGAACTCATTGAAATCTGCCTGCCTCGGCCTCCCGAGTGCTGGGATTAAAGGTGTATGCCACCAAGCCCTGGCCTATGTGGCTCAGTTTTAACAACGTATTGTTTGGTAGTTTGTTTGTTTCTTCATAATGTCAGACTAACATGCTTTGGAGATAGATGTCTTTCTGTTCGCTTTGGGAAACTGAGTAAGGCTGGAGTTTCCTAGGGCTTTGCCTATGGCATCTCAGGCTGGGAAAGTGATTTCATAGACAGCTTTGATGTCATCCACACAGAACACAGAACCTATATTGACCCTTTCTCACCTGCACGGTGTAAAACCCACAGGTATGAGGGCTGAGTAGGAGGTTCATTGAAGAACCTACCCATTCTTCTGATCAATAATCATCTTGCTTCCAAAGAATCTGGTTGAACCAATACTCATTTTCCTTGTAAAGTTCTGCAGCACAGTTCCAGCCAAGTGAACCATCTCATCTTTGTAGCATGCTCTTCCTGAACCAGCAGGTTTTATGCCAATTGTACCCACACTGCAAATAGGCATCTTGCATTTGGTTGAATCTCTCCTAGGGGTTCCCAATGGCGGCTCATTAGGACCTCGATCTGAAGACCTTGAGAAATGGTGGATTTCCCCTCCAGAGACTGACTTGATAGGTCTGTCTGTGGCTTAGTGACAGAGACACTCTGAGAAACCGTCCCTTGCATGATTTTGTCTTTGTGTGGACATCACAGGGTACACTCATTTAAACCCGAATGCTCTAGATCACCCACTCTGTGCCCTTCTTGGTGCAGTCAGGAGTCATGGTGAACGACATAAGACTGCTGCGGATGAACCACAAACACAGGGACACTGCCTTGTACTGACACTGTGAGAGCTATGATACCGAAGACATCCCCCCCTCCATTACACTTTCTGGCACCATCTTCATCTATGTAGTCCCTGGTTGACTAAAAAATGGATTGCCTGGTAGTAGGGGCCCACGTCTTTAATCCTAGCACTTGTGAGGCAGAGACAGGCAACTCTCCAAGTTTGAAGCCGGCCTGGTCTACAGAGTGAGTTCCAGGCTAGTCAGGGATACAGAGAAAAACCCTGTCTGGAAAAACCCCAAACCAACCAAACAAAAGAGAGATGCATCCTTCTGCTCCAAGTGTTAGTCTTCCCTTTTCAGTAACAAAGGACAGCTTGTCTGAACTTTGTTACAAGGTGGATGGTCTAACCTGCCAGACAGCAACTGGGGGAGAGTTACCCACATTGCAGATACAAAAATGCAAGTGTTTAGAGCCATGCCTGGTTCCCATCTGCCCCCAACTATTAATACACACAGTCTCCTACTTTTCTTTGTTAATTCTACAAAGTATTGCCTTGTTGGGGTCTGAGTAAACAGAAGTCAGATTAGCATAAGTGATCATCTTGAGGCTAAGTGTGTACTTTGGTTCAGTAAAAGGCAAAATTTGTCAAGTCGAAACTTTTGTTAAAACACGCAATCTCGTAGCAAGCACTGGTTAGGCACCTTCTGTCCGCCAGGTATTGTGTGTGTGCACGTAGGGTCACAGTGTTTGCAGGAATACATTCACAGCTCCCATGGCCGCATGCTAATCAGCCTGAGCCTGCTACAGCTAAGTAGTCTTCCTTAGCTCGTTTTCCTGGAGAAACAGAGGCTTTCAGCAGTTGCCAGGCCATTCAACTCCACAGCTAGTCCCTACTCCTCACACCAGCGAAAGTCTTGAGCACTCCACGCACACCTTTAAGGAATTTGCTCCGTTTTGATTAAGGTAAAGAGTCCACGAGCATCAACTCCCTGGTACCCCTTTCTCTGAGGAAAGCTCCAAACACCGCAGTGCTCACAGCGTGCTGCCTCTGCTCCCGGATGCACACCACTTCTGACCCCTTGAGGAGTTGGGTGGGAAGGAAAGGCAAAGTATATGGAAGTTTTCTAGACTCCTGGGCAACCCCAGATCTTCCTAAGGAAGAATGCCAGTTCCAAGGCTGCCCCCACTCTCCCAACTTGCGTGCTGTGTCTCCAATGTCTGATTGCTTGCAAAATCCTGTGCGACGGCCACACAAAATACCAAACCTTGGACAGGAACCAAACGGTCACTTCCCCGCCCTCTCAGTACAGTATGCAAATCCGAACACCAGGAAGTAGCTGGGACCTCTTGGCCGAGCCCAGCGACAGCCAGTTCCTCTCCCACCGAGCCGGGCCCGGGTGCCTCCCGGCCGACGCTCTGCAGCTAGTCGCCTGCTGCAGGCCGGGCACTGTTCCCCCGCGCAGTGTGCCCGCAAGCGCCGGCCACGCGTCCTGCGACCTGGGCGGGCAGCTGCTTCCCAGGCGGGCCCCGCAGGGCTGTCCCGTCGCGTGCGCAGCTTTGAACTGAAGTCACCGTGGAGTTCCGCCGCCCCGAAACTTCCACCGCGAGCGAGTGAGTCAGGGGCTCGAACGCGAGGTGGGCGCGTAGGGTGGACCGAGCAGGGATCCGGGGACTAGGCCACTAACGGGGCACAGGTCTCTTGCTTGGCTAGAGACCCGGGGATTTGGCACAGCAGCGGCAGCAAAGGTCGCGCGCCGGTTCCTGGTCGGCGCTCGCCCGGGGTGGTGAGAACATTTAGATGCCTGCAGCCTGGGGTGACTGTGGCTCGGTCGAGCGGGGACGTGGGGGCGGTGGCTCCGCAGGTGTCCTCAGCGGAGCGGAGCGGGGGCGTGGTGGGTGGTGCGCGCAGGGTGGGAGTCCCAGGGTCTCTGGCTTGGGCCACCTGCGGGCCGCGTTCCAGCTTCTCTTTCGTGACAGGGAAGCCTTGGTCCAGTCGAAAAGGAGCGCGGCGGGGATTCGCCATCGGGTCTTTCGGCGAGACCCTGGGTCCCCGGGGATGAGAAGGGGGGTTTGGTCCTGGCCCTCTCTGAGGCTGGCGGTTGGCTGAGGCCCCTGGTGACTCGGGGCAAGGTGGTGACGTCGAGCGGCCACGACCTCCCGCGGAGCCCGGCTTCTCTCTGCTGGCTGCGGAGCGGTCCGACGCCTTGGCCAAGAGGAAGCTAGAGTTATTTTAAGAATTCAGGGATGCCTTTCCTTCGGGCTGGGGGAAGGGTGTATGTGACAGTTCCCACTCGCCTGCCTTATCTTGGCTGGCAGTGGTGGCTTCTCCATGCTGTTTATGTAGTGTTTTTTCCAATAGCCCTACTGCTCAGGGCGCTTGTGGTTGTCTCTTAGTTTCTTTGAGTATCCATGTTTTGTGTTAATTATGCCAATCCGCTCAACTTCCTTGCAAACACTCAGAATGCAGGTGGGAATCTAGGCCATGCAGTCTCGAAGCTGTGTGTGACTGCAGATTATTGAAGTTCCCGGTTTGGGTTTCCTCTTAATTCAGAATGAACGTACCGGATAGGTTCAGTACACTGAAAGCCTTCCCACATACTCCGCGTTATTAAATGTCCCTTGGTACACTGACTGTATAAAAACGAAGGTCCTTGGCGCTTGGCAGTTTGGTGATTTTAAACCTGAGACCCCAAGTCTGAGTGAGCCATCTGACTTATGAAAAATGTGCTTAATAAGGACCTGAAAGGTGTTCTGTCCCGGGGGTTCCTGATTCCCTCATTCCACCGCGAGGCCCTAAGCCCTAGCACAGAAGACACCGAACTCCTGCTTTGCTCCTGAAACTCAACTGGCTGTAGGGTGTTTCCTCTGTGCACTTTTTAGGGAAATGGGTTCTACCCTGCTGGGTGCAGAAACTTCTCTAGCCCTTGTTCAGTGAGGGGAATCCTTCCTCACCCAAGACTGCCTACCCAGGTTCTCATTTGGGTAAACATGGGGATTTGGGGTTTTGCTGTTTTTTTTTTTTTTTTTTTTTTTTTTTTTTTAATTTGGCTCCCAAGAGCCTTTCGTGATTGAGCCTCCTGGGCTGTGAGTGTGGTGACCTTCTGAGCCAGGGGAGAGGCCAGCAGGTGAGAAGGAAGAGAGGTCAGGATCCAGGAATCCTGAGCTGTGGTAGAGGCACCACTTGCCAGAGCTGAAAGTTTAGAACACCCACTTGGCATGTATTGAGTCAGTGTTCCGCATAGCAGCAGCGGAACATATATTGGGATATGTCCATGTTTATAGACTGTGCATCCTGACATGACAATATCAGGACAACAGCGTTATCTCTTTTGCTCAAAATGAAGGTGCCTGGTGCTTGATAGGTACTCAGGGGAAGATTGCTTGGAAGAGGAAGGAAGGAGTGCCCTGAGCTGCAGCTTCCTGCTCCTCTGTCTTGGTTTCTGTAACAAGGGCAGGAGGACATTGTCCAACAACACCAGAGCCCTAAGTGGAAATCCCAATGGCAGACTTTCTGTGTCTTTGGAGTGTCTTTGGTGTGCAGTGAGAGTCTCAGCAGAGGGAGTAACCCTCTTTATCACAGAGTCCTGGTGCTTTGTAATGCTCTCCCTTCTAACTGCTAGTGACTTCCTTTCAGCAGAAAGAGTGGCCCTGCCCAGCTATGCAGATCAGTGACTTTGAAGACCTTAGTGCCTCCAGTGTTTGTGTTCAGAAATAAATTACAGACGATCTGATATTAGAGATGTCAGTTACCAAAATGACAAAATGACACCATACAATCATATATAAACCCTCACTGATTTCTTAAATCAGAATACAATATGCACACATAGATACAGTACAAGACTTTGTTACATCTCACTGGGACCAATGACCCCTCGGATGTATAAATTAATGCAACATTGAAGGGCTACCACAATCAGTAGGACATTTGCCAGTGACACACTGGCAACACGGCCAGGCTGGAGCCTTTCTGAGCAGTTTTTAGAAATGAAGATTTTGTGTGTGTGTGTGTGTGTGTGTGTGTGTGTGTGTGTGTGTGTGTGTAAAACTTCACGTATCCTCATTGCTGACTGCATCTGGACCACTCATGATTCCCTACCAGCAGGCAAGAGAGGGACAGATACAAAAAAGAGATTCGGGGATTTGTCTGAGGGGAAAACTTCAGTGGTCTTTGGATATTACAGGTATGTTTTCTGACTGCTCCTACTTTCCAGTAACCAATTACTTGAACTGATTATTTAGTACATATTTGAGAAAGAGAATTATGGAGTAATTTTCTTTTCTAATTTGTTAGTTTTCTGAAGTAAGTATGGGGATATGTAGGAGTGGCTCTCCAGGAAGCCACCTCCTGTATTTTCAACACTGTATTTTCTTCAGTGTGGATAACCCACACTAACTGCTAAGGTAACACCTGTATGTCCGCTGGAACAGCTTTACTTATGACACTTACTAATTAGCCAGCAATGTCCAAAGGCACCTGTCAAAAGACTTCTCCCTGCCATTGCTGGAAACACCTTGCCCATGAACTCTGCCAATCCTAGGTAACTGTTATAGCAAGAGCGTCATCCACGATGGCGATAGAAAGCCTATAGGACCCAGGTAGAACGTGGGTCTGATTTTCCGAGTGCCTGCTGTGGGCAAGCCAGTGGTCAGCCCAGTATTCGTCTTTCGATAGTCATTGCCTCCTAGCTTTGAAAGCTAATAACGAAGAGAAGGAAATAGAAGAGGCAGTTTCTTTTCCAGTCAGAAATACTGAAATATTTCTACAGCTGCCCAGTTTCCTGATGCTTAGATTGTGAAATTTTGAATAAACTCTGTCATTATTTCCAACATTTAAGTTCCCATTTGAGGAAGACACTCAACTGTAGACGATGGGGTGTTAATCGAGGGCTGAGAAACTGTGTGACAGACCAGTGTCAAGACTGGGCCTTCTCTCGTCTTTGTCTTGAGTCATCTAGGAGGACTTGTCTGTAAGGTTGAATAGCAAGCTTAAATAATTAAATCAAATTCTGGCCAGTGCAGTATGCCATGGCCTTAGCGCTTTTATCTTTTGGGGCCCTTTTTCCTTTTTGCTCTGGCTTTCATTTTCCCTTCTTACAGGATAAGCCATTGAATTTGTTGTTGGCCAGGAAACTGTTTCTTGAAAGCTGAGTTCCCAGCTCTCTGCAAGTCCTGCTGACTTCACTGTGAGTCCTCAACCTGCAATGCCTTTGCCGTGCGACTCCTTCATCTTCCGACGACACCCTCTTCCTTGCCGTTGGCATGATGCTAGTTGCCCAATTATGGAAAGAGATTATATTCGTTCTCATTATTGCGCCCATAGTCACTGTTCAGAAGGCTGTGATCCCTAACTGGCATCCCATAAAACCACACAGATACTAACATCACTTTTAAGACCTGGTCTCAAATGTCCCAGACTTAGATGACCTTGAACTTCCAATAAAGTTTGCCTCTTCGGTATTGTTGATTACAGGTGTGTGACACCCTGCCTGGCTCACTCACACATCAGTTTGAAAGGCAGTTTCCTAAGGGTCTTATCGACCAAGGAGGAGCCTTCCTATATGTGTGGCCTGGACTGTTTTTTAGTTTATTTTCTTTCCTAAGCTTTATACTTCGAAGTCATTATTGCCTTTTGTGTCCACCCTCACCTGTCTGTGGGACCTAAAACTTCCCTCGCCACCTTTTTGACTCCAGGCCACACTGATTTGAAGCTCCTCTTGAACACACCTCCTCCGGTTTCCTCCTTTCTCTGTACTAGGAAAACATTTTGTGGGAAACTATACAGACGGGGAGGGGCCGCTCTTACGCGCTGCTGCGAGTCCACAGGGAGAAAGTAGTGTTCACTCTGGTTCCTGAAGCCCCGATGACTGTGGGGTGTTTGGTTTAAGTGGGCACCCCACTCTTCCTGTAAGTGTTAACTCCCACAGGGCAGAGGGAATGGAGAAACTGGTCTCTGAGAGGCTCTCTGGAGAGGGAGGACCACTTCTGCTTTCCATGGGAAGGCAGTGATGCTGTAATGCTGAGAGCAGAGCTCAGCCCCAGGAAGAAGGCACAAAGGAAGTGATACCCTCCACGCCCAACACACTCCAAGTCATTTGCTTGTGGGGCCCCTCCCTCCAAATCACCCAGAATTGCTGCTTTTCCCTCAGGGTCCCTTCTACCACCCTTGCTTGGTCTGTGGGTTCACAGTCGATTTTCCCTGGAGAGAGACCAGAGGAATGGGGGAGAGGGAAAGGGAGGGTGGCATGTGGCAGGGGCTTGTAGACTCTCCTCAGGCAAAGACCCCCCAGCAGGAAGTGGTATATTTTGAAATACACAGCCTTGATTTTTCCAGCACCAGAAAGATGTATGTTTTGAAATTTCCCCTCATGGAAACTCAAAGTAAAATTTCACAATCATTAAATGTTCGCTGTCTCGGCTATAGTAGGTTTGTGCAGTTTTTAAAGCTCCTGAGTTACTGTCTTTCATAAAGCCCTTGGAATGCAGCAGTGACCGTCACATTTTCACAGGCACAGCCTGTCTTAGAAACACATCTTACTTATGCCCATAGCACGTAAAAACAAGCAGACAAAAAGGCTATCAAATGTGACCAAGGAGCCTTCCTTTATGTT